GCAACCTTTTGCCGACCGTCCTAGTGTTTTCACACCCACAACCTGCCTTGGGATTGACCTGCGTTCTTCGACCCTTCACACACGATCGTGAACGATTTCTACGTACGGCTGATCTACTGAGTTGTTTATCTGCGACCGAGACCAAATCACAAGCGCGTCCGAGCGTCCCAGAGCGTCCCTGCGTGCCTCTCAGCCATCTCGCAGTCTAGGACGCTGACCATGCGGCGTTTATGAAGCACCGATCGCGACGCTGAGAGAAAACTGGGAACACGACGTATGCTGCAGTTGATATTGAGATGCAAAGAGCAAGGAAGGGTGTTCAGCCGCGGCCATGCGGATCTCGATACGAGAGCAGCTCGGACTGCTCGTCCTCTTTTGCTCCCTTACATCTCTGATGGTGCTTGCACTCGCAGTGGTACGTCGCGTGGAAATGTTGACAGCGGATGATACTGAGTGAAATATGGCCAGTGGTTCCAAAATTACAATTTCATTACCGGCATCAGGTCAGGGAAAATGCCTCCCATCCTGAAGTCCTTCAGCGCTGATTGACATTGACAGGTTATCCGGACTGTCCTTGACGGCATCCCTCAAAGCAGCACAGTTCACGAGCGCACTACTGTTGTATGATTCACAGGCCAGGCTGATCAGCACGCGGCTGCTAATCCAGAGTGCTCTGGGAAGATATAATTCGGGTAATCCTTCCGAGAACCTTCTTCACTAAAGTGCTAATGCTAATCATGACCACTGAGAAGGAAACACCTCAAACGAGAACTGGCAACGATCTGTGAGTGACTTCCAGGGCGCTCTCGCCAATGGCAGCCTTCTGGTCCAGGCAATTTTATATCCCAATGCCTTCAATGGAAACGAGACTGCGGTCAATGGGCTACTCAACGTCACTGCAATTGGATTGGACGGCACAATCAAACTACCCTACAACTATACGAATGGCTCAGCGGTTTACTTGGGAGACCCGGGCCTGGGCTACCCCTCCTCACTGTATCCGAATTTGACTTATGGCCCTCCGCAATCAGGAACCAATTTTTCAACTTTATACTACAAAGGCCAAATCATTCGACCTGATGACACCCTTTTCCTAGGACCTTTGGTTGTGAATGAGACTTACTCCCTTCTGTCGCTCACAGTTCCCCTGATCAACAACACATCTCGGTCCGATGTCCTTGGCTGGATGACGGTTCTGGCCAATACTAATATGCTATATGAAATCCAGCAGTCGCCTGAAGGACTCGATAAAACCGGGGAAACTCTTATTATTGGTCCAGCGTCGTCGAATAACCATTTTGGACAACAGGTCCGGGGATCTAGCAAGTCCTACCTGGAATCTCAACTAGTCCGGTATGTGCTACCACCGGCAAGCAATTCTACGCTGGATTATCGGCACCAGGCCCGAAGTAGCGTCAACAATGCCACCGAACCATTTCCAGCTTCAGGTTATCCGGCAGTCGTTTCAGCGTGGACCAAGGACAACCAGGCCATCAATAATGCGGGCGCCTATATTTCAACGTGGAACGAAGAAGGAAAACGAGTTTCCGCAGGTTATGCCACGCTATCTACCAAGTTTGTCGATTGGGTGGTTGTGGTAGAACAATCACACCACGAGGTGGTTGCCCCTATCGACCATCTGCGTGATGTTGTTCTCATCTGTGTCTTTTCTGTGACTGGCTTACTCCTGCTCGTCATGTTCCCCATGGCACATTATTCGATCACCCCAATCCGGCATCTCGCAGCTGCAACCGCCAAAACGGTAGAGCCTTATCAACCTGACGATAATAGCGAATATTCCAGCACTTTGGGCCACCAAGTCGCGGAGATGGAGGACGTACTGGACTCTGATGAACGCGAGGTGGCTAGAAAAGAAGGCTTTTTCGGTGTTCTGACAAGGATTTCTAAACCAAAACAGCCAGATCGATCGACAACTCCTCGACACTTGCGGCGAAGAACATTCAGGATACCTAGGAAAGTTCCAGAGCGAAAACATCTCATCACTGATGAGCTTACGGAGCTGACTCGCACCTTTAACGAGATGTCTGACGAGCTAACGATGCAATACGAGCGTCTCGAAGAAAGGGTAAAGCAGCGTACAGCGGAGCTCGAGAAAAGCAAGAAGGCCGCCGAAGCAGCGAACCAGAGCAAGACACTCTTCATCGCTAACATTTCCCACGAGTTGAAAACGCCTCTCAATGGTATTCTCGGCCTTACGACCGTTTGTATGAACGAGGATGATCTAGGCCGGATCCGGTCTACACTAAATACCATCTACAAATCTGGAGATCTGCTTCTCCACTTGTTGACCGATCTTCTTACCTTCAGCAAGAATGAGGTTGGCCAGCAGCTGTCGATTGACGAAGCGGAATTCAGACTCAGTGATCTGAGCACCCAACTGATGCCTACCTTCGAAAAACAGGCTCGCGAGGCACAAGTGGATCTCAAAGTACTGTTCCTTGGTACGAACGACGCTTTCGGTGATGCTTCTGAGTTGTCTGGAGAAAAGCTATATGGCCCAGTTGGCACAGGCCGCGTTAGGGACATGTGTCTATGGGGTGACAAGAACAGGATTTTACAGGTCCGTCTAGTCCCGAAAACGAAATTCATTCTACTAACTAGCTTCAGGTCCTGATGAACTTTGTCAGCAACAGTCTGAAGTTTACTCCTGCGCATGGCTCTGTCACAGTCCGTGTTCGCTGCATGGGTCTTGTTGAGAGCTTTCCTAGTAGAGCAGGAAGCGCGCGAAAGTCCTCCCTGAACTCAAGAAAGTCAAAGTCTTCGAGCAATAAGCGAGTACGGATGTCAGATGGCTCCCTGGTTCCACCAGATAGCGCCGATCATGACAAGAGTCATTCGAATTCTTGGGGACTCGAAGACTCAAAACTTAGCATCAACGTGGCTGGAGGCACAACGCACATACCGAAGGTCGCAGAAAGGCAGCGATCAATGTCACCCCCACCAGTGAATACGAAAGATTTGAGCTTCGAATTCGAGGTTGAAGACACAGGCCCGGGGATTCCACCTGAACAGCAGAAAATGATCTTTGAACCCTTTGTACAGGGTGACCTAGGCTTGAGCAAGAAATACGGGGGTACTGGATTGGGTCTAAGCATCTGCGCTCAACTAGCGGCCTTAATGGGTGGTGACATTTCTCTCGACAGCAAAGTTGGGTTTGGCAGCAAGTTTACTATGCGGATTCCGCTTCGCTATGTATCAGAGCGCACCCCGTCAATGGCCTCCTCAACACGGAAATCCGTCTCCAAAGCCAGCAGTCTTGTCGGACAAGCCTTGCATGACCAACCCGACGTAACGCCGCACACCCACACTGGTTCCACGACATCCTTACCCTCAGCCCGGGATGATCAACCCAAATTAGCCGATGTTCCAAGGATAGTCGGCTTCACTCAACCTTATGTGGCGAAAGAAATAAAGAGTAGCGACGCATCTCAAGCAGGACTCAATGAGATAAAGAAGGTGGAGAATGAAGCTGCACAAAAGGGTCGAAAAGTGCGCGTCCTCGTGGCAGAAGACAATCAAGTGAATCAAGAAGTCGTCCTTCGCATGCTGAGGTTGGAAGATGTCTATGGTAAGTCCCCTGAACCAGTGTAATGCTACAATCTCACTGTCTGATAGATGTCACGATTGCGAAGGACGGACAAGAAGCATTTGAAAAGGTTCGGGAATCCATGGTGAGCGGGCAACGGTTTGATCTAGTCTTTATGGACGTTCAAATGCCCAACCTTGATGGAATTCAGTCGACCAGACTCATCCGCGAAATGGGATTCAAATCGCCTATTGTCGCCCTTACTGCGTTTGCCGAAAAGTCCAACGAGGACGAGTGCATGGCTTCCGGAATGGATTACTTTCTGGCCAAGCCGATTCGAAGACCTGCTCTCAAACAGGTCCTTAAAAAATATTGTGCAACAATTCCGGAGGAGGAAAACGAGGGAAGTTCAACTGCGGTGCCTCGTTCAGACGAGAATGCAGCGCCACAAGCGAAAAACGGTCAGACCACATACGGGGAGCCCAATATTGACCCGTTGGACTCAGGCGACGTCTCACCTCTATCATGATTGCTCCATCGCCGCGATCAGTTCTCTTTAGCTGACTTGGCGGAAAGCACCGCTGAATCAGCCATATCAGTTGTATAACAGTACTCCTATTCATATTGGGTATAAGGAAAATGTGTGGAAGCTAGGCACTCTCATGCCAGGAGAGGTCACTACTGGTGGCCTATTGTTTGCGTGGGTATCCAAAATCTCAGATTTGTTTCAGATGGTAGTGCATATGGACAGCGATGGCGTGTGGAGTTGGGCTCTATACTGTTGGATATGGGCACTTTAAGACACATCTGAGTGCTACGGTCTGGAAAAAAGTTCAAGGTTCATGGGAGACGCAATTTATTAGGATTGCAGGTATCACAATTCACGGTTCCATATTGGGGTGGTAAGGGAGAGAGACCCCCTCAATTCATAACTGAATACGAATATACCTGGCAGCATTAGCTAGCCAAGGCGTGACGGGGGCGTGGGTAACGAAGGACGAGTTCGAGTCGTGGAGCACGAATGGTGTGCGTAGTTGACATGGAACAAACTGCTGAATGCTTAGAACACTAGAAGGGTGGCTCCAACGGAGTTCACTTGGTAACTTGCAAGACAAGGGCATTGGCCCTGCACCAATAGGTACATACATATATGTACAGACAGAGCATAGGCTACCGTGGTCCGTGGGCGAATTAGGTGCAGGGACGCAAGATCGACCCACAGCATAGTGAGATCTGATCGATCTCGCTGGTAGATCCGATCCTCACTTTTCTTACATCACCACTGCCAACTGCCAAATTACTAGCATCAGTGAGATGCGTAGCTCTCACGAAAGGTACATTCTTTGATTTCTGCTCCTTGCTGCACGCGTGAGTTGCTCCTCGATTTTGCGCGTCGACCGCATGACTACGTGAACGATAGGTGAAAGTCGGCTCAAGACGAGCATTTCCAACCATGCGCAGAATGAAACGCAAAGCAAATAACGTGGTAGTGGCTGTCGACCCTGAGCACAAGAAGCCACGCTCAATCACAGGCTCCTCAAATCAATACAAAGACTCGACAAATGAGCTCAAGTACGGAATCATCCTCCCCAAGTACTATCCTCCCGAGATGACCAACGAGCGAGCCGAAGCATACAAGACCGGACAGATTGAGCGACCGATAGAGACACTGGAAAAAGCCGCTAAAGAAACACAAGCCGACCGAGACCAAGTACCGCCAGGAAAGTGTGTGGTTCACTGGTTCAAGTGTGACTTGCGGACGACGGACAACAAGGGACTGCACCTAGCAAGCAACATGGCAAAATTGCACAATGTGCCCCTGGTTTGCCTTTACTTGATCTCCCCTCAAGACTTCGAGGCCCATCTGACAGCTCCCGTACGCGTTGATTTCATTCTTCGTAACCTTGCTATGTTGAAGAGGGATCTAGATGATTTGGACATACCATTGTATGTTGAGACGGTGGAGAGGAGAAGGAACATCCCGTCTAAACTCGCCGACTTATGCGCGGTATGGGGAGCTTGCCATGTATTTTGCAACGCAGAGTACGAGGTGGACGAGCTCAGGAGAGAAGCTGCTCTAACAAGGGGTTTTTTGGAGAGGGGAATATCCTTCAGTGTCATCCATGATACTTGCGTTGTCGAACCTGGCAAGCTGAAGAGTGGCTCTGGTGGTCCAATATCGGTCTACAGTCCCTGGCACCGAAAGTGGTGCACCTACCTCAACCAAAACCCCCAAGAACTGGACTATCTCCCTCCACCAGGCCACAACCCACAGTCTGCGAGAGAAAGTTACTCGAGGTTATTTAACACTGGTATTCCAGCGGCACCTCCCTCGAAGCAGCTGACCGAGGAAGAAAGAGTGAGATTCAGTAGCATGTGGCCCGCAGGAGAGAGTGAAGCCCAAGATCGACTGCACAAGTTCGTGCTCGAGAAAATTGCCAAGTACCATGATACCAGGAACCTACCTGGAGGCAATGGGACGTCTGTTCTTAGCCCACACCTGGCAGCAGGTACAATTGCCGCACGGACAGTTGTTAGAGAGGCTCGTGACGCAGCTCCCTTGAAGAGAGTGACAGATGACCGGAAACAAGGACACTCAATGTGGATTGCCGAGGTAGCGTGGAGAGATGTGCGACCTTCTCCCATATGTTGTGTATTGGTCCAGGCTGACAGCGTCTGCAGTTCTATAAACATGTCCTATGCCACTGGCCGTACATTTGGTAAGTGCGTTGTGCTCATTCTTGCTAGTCATGATGGCTGAAACATCCTGCCAGCATGAATAAGCCTTTCAAACCAGAATACAGCAATGTCGAGTGGGAGTACGACATGGAACAGTTCGACAAATGGACCCAGGGCAAGACAGGTTTCCCAATAGTTGATGCTGCAATGCGCCAGGCAGCGTATACGGGATATATGCCGAATCGCTGTCGGATGATTGTGGCTTCCTTCTTGGCCAAAGATCTCCTGATTGACTGGCGCATGGGCGAAAAGTGGTTCATGGAGCACCTCATTGATGGTGACTTTGCATCAAACAACGGCGGTTGGGGATTCAGTGCCAGCTGTGGCGTCGACCCACAACCCTATTTCCGCATTTTCAACCCGTTGCTCCAAAGCGAGAAGTTTGACGCTGAGGGAGGGTATATCCGTAAATGGGTGCCAGAGCTTGCTGATATCGAAGACAGCAAGGGAATCCATGACCCGTACAACCGTGGCTACGGGAAGGTTGCTGAGACAAATGGCTATCCAAGGCCAATTGTCAATCACAAAGAGTCGCGAGACAGGGCTCTGGCGCGGTATAAAGCGGGCATTGGAAGAGATAATGCATGAAGACATCCAAGCTAAATGCCAGTTCTTGCAGCTGGATTCGACCAGCTGAGGGTAATGAGAATATTGCATGGTTCGTTTGGAGTGCCAACACGTAGCCTTTGGGTTTTCCTTTGATTTTGCCCGACTCAAAGCGAAGAAGCGGGCTTTCGACCATGGCCGTCAGTTTACCTCAGCCGGGCCCTTGTGTTCGACCTTGCCTGCTTATATTCTGACTGTGAGGTACTTCTTTTGAACCTGCCCGCACGGAGCAAACAGAAGGTCGTTCATTTTTAGTTAGTCGTCAATGTATCCAATCCCAGCTTTTGTCATAAGGTGAAACACCCTTCGGAGTTATGGTCAGAGGATAACAAGGGCGTGGCGCAGTGGAAGAGGTTGGTCTTCGAAAGAAGCTCCATGACTTTGGCGGTTGGGATATTGCCTCAGCGGCTGTTTCACAACATATGGGGACGGACAAATTGCGTGATAGGTATTCTGTTCAACGTGATAGCATCTACTTTCAGACAGGTGTGATTGTCAGCCAAAAAAATCAAAGTAGTTGGAGGGATTGGCAGGATATGCTGGAGACTTCATATTAAAGGATAGATAAGGTCTGGCAAACGATCTCGTCCATGATATATGCTAGATACTCGTACTGGAGGGATTCGGAGTGCTCGGTTCTAAGACGTGGAGAGCGGCAATCGGCACCAGACCATTTGCAGTCCCACCCTCCAACCCACGGTCCCGCCTAATCCCCGTCCAGGCTTTCCTCCAACCAGCTGTCCAGACAACCTTCTAGCAAGGAGATCAGCGGGCAACTACAGGCATCACCTGCCCCTCCTTTGGCCTAGTAACGCCTTTCCTGCCGCCCTCTTCCCACTTCTAAACGCCCTTTTCATTCAAAAGCCTACGGATTGGATGAAGTTGGGGTAATTCTCGCATCACCCACAATGACCCCGGTAATAGCAGTGGCGGGAAGCGGCCACACTGCGGGTTTCGATGGGTTGCCCATCTTTCCTCTACGATGGTCGCCTGTGAACTTTTCTCACACTTCCTTTACCGTGCAAATCTCCATCGACAGCTATCCTACGACGTCTCAAGGGTTGAGAACGAGGTCCATGGCTCTTCTCGTTCGTTCACCCTACTCAAGCCATGGTCAAAGGAGCGAAACGGGCACTTCAGTTGCCCAAGCAGCAACTGCTCATTCTAGCAGTATGCCGCTTCGCAGAGCCTGTCGCAATGACCTCGGTCTACCCATACATTGTGAGTCCCCAGGATCCAAATCCCCCAGCAATGTGATCGTTCATCCATACTGACAGTATTCAGCCGGAGATGATTCAATCCTTCAACGTCCCCAATGATAAAGTGGCCAAATGGGCCGGACTTATGTCTGCGACCTTTTCACTCTCACAATGTCTGACCGGAATCGCCTGGGGTCGGGCATCAGACCGTTTTGGGCGCAAGCCCATAATCATCCTCGCCCTGACTTGCACCATGATATCATCCATATTATTTGGCTTCTCCAAAAATCTTGCCTGGGCCTTCATCACACGGTCTTTGCAAGGCCTCTCGAACGGGAATGTTGGGATCATTCGGACAGCTGTGGCAGAATTGGTACCTCAAAAGGAATTACAACCGAGGGCATTCAGTATTATGCCGCTCGTCTGGAACATTGGCAGTATATTCGGGCCGTCTTTTGGAGGATCTCTGGTCCATCCCGCGGAAAGATATCCAGAAGTGTTTGGAAAGCTGAAGTTGCTCAAAGAATATCCCTTTGCGCTGCCGAACCTCTTGATCAGCATTCTTTTCATGTGCGGGATCACTGCCGGTTTCCTTTTCTTACACGAGACCCTCGAGGAAAAGAAATCCCACAGGGACTACGGCCTGATAATGGGCAAATTCCTGACCAACTCCTGCACCCGGAGGCCACGATCCAGGACCAGGACTTGGTCAAATACCGAGGAGTCGGATCCATTTCTCCCTGGGATTTCGAGTGAACTGTCCACACCGATATCTGGTTCCATTGTCGCGGCTGAGATCCCCAAACAGAACCCAGGCTGGGCGGAGGTCTTTTCCACACAGTCAAATATCAACCTGGGTGTGTACACGTTTTTGGCCATGCATTCGGTGGCGTACGACCAACTACTGCCAATATTCATGCATTATCCGGTGCAATCTATTCAAGACCCCGAGGTCCATCTACCTTGGAAGTTTGCTGGCGGATTCGGCATTGATTCCAACAGGATTGGCCTATTGTTTACTGTCTACGGCGTTTTTGGCATGCTCATCCAGTTCTTTGTCTTTCCCCCCTTTGCGAGAAGGTACGGCGTTTTGAATTGTCTCAAGACTTGCTGCCTAGCCTTTCCCCTGGTCTACGTCGCGACACCTTTTACGGCCCTACTGCCTACTGACTCGTCACGGCAAGGTATCATGATGTTGTTGATGATGGTCAAGGGCTTTTGCGGCATCTTTGCGTTCCCTTGTTCTACCATTCTTCTTACCAATAGTGCTGCTAGTTTGAAGATACTAGGGACGCTGAATGGGGTGGCAACCAGTATCTCTGCCATTGGAAGAGCTGCCGGACCGGCTTTAGCGGGTGCTACATTCACCAAAGGAGTTGATATCGGATATGTTGTAATTTCTTGGTGGATATTGGCCCTGGTCGCCATTGTGGGCGCCGTCCCAGTGTGGTTTCTGGTGGAGATGGAAGGGTTTGGGGGGGACTTGGACGATGATGAAAGTGACCAAGACGATGATGATATTTACGACGACGAAGACGACAATGACGACGACGCCAAAGCATCTTCGGTTGCCACCGCTGGAGCACATTCCCGGAAGTCCAGTGCGCCCTCTTTTGCCGAAGAGGCGGTGGAAGACGACGAGGAGTTGCCGGGATCTCGTCTTCTGACACCCGCTACTACGAGGACCTCGCAACGATCTTCTCGCCGCCACAGTCTCCAGCTTCGACGAGTCCCGAGCCCTATCGGATTTGGCCATGGTGTCATTCCACTCGGTGCCCGCAGATACAGCAGCGACCTCGGAGCTACAAGGAGTGGGTTGGGTGCTGGCGGAACGAGCTATTATTGAGCGTCATCGGGGCATAGCATCGAAGTTTGAACCACCAGGTCGTGGTCGAAGAAGGAAGTTACAGATACAGCGTTCTTATTAGGCCCCCCAAAATCTTCATGTTCTTATGTCACAAGCGTGCTGCAGTACCTTTTAGGATCTGGCCGACCCCGTTTCGGACCTCTTGCACAATATCGGCAGCGTTTTGTACCTTGTTCACCAGCCCTACTCCAGCCCCTGCCCAGACGTTTGCCCTATTGGTTGTCCCGAAGCCGCCATCCTCTCCCTCCACTGCCTCATTGTGCTTTTTTCTTATCAGCTCGATATCGATACCTTGGACATGATCGGCATAGCTCTCCGTGACCAGGCTTCTTCCGTCATAAGCGTCAGGCCAGATATTGGGGCCCTTGACATTGTCAAATAGTTTGCTTCGGACGGTGCTTTGAGCTCCATCCTTTGCTGCCAGTACCAGCTCTCGATATCCAGGAGGTGAGATGGTCTCTTTGGCCGCGAGAAACCTCGTCCCAATCACTACCCCCGATGCCCCCAGCGCGAATGCAGCTGCAGCACCGCGAGCATCTGCGATCCCCCCTGATGCGAGCAAGGGAATATGACCGAGACCCTTTTCGGCGAGAACATCAGCCGCCTCTGGTAGCACCGAAACGATACTGGCGCCTCTTTCGAATCCATGGCCGCCTGCATCCGCGCCCTGCATGATCAAAGCATCAGGCTTGGCCGTCTGGGCGATCTCGACAGCGGCGCTCACACTGCCGACTTGAATCCAGATCCTAGAATTGGGGCACCTTCCCCGGATCTCTGTGGACCAAGTGGCGTAATCCTTCAGATCCTTTGCAGCAAACAACCAGACCAGAGTGGGTTGATATTTTGCGAGGATGGGAAGCACAGACTCGGCCTTGACGATGAAGGGTAACAGGCCCACGCCGACAGAAAGCATGTCACCTGGCGCAGTGGTGGCCTTGAGGTTGTCTGCCGCGATACTCAGTTCCTTCTCCAAGTCGCTAGACATGATGGCGCCGATCATCCCGAGACCACCTGACTTTGTGACGGCGCTTGCGAGGTTCCCACCGGCAAAGCCGCCCATGGGGGCATTCACAATGAGGGGAGACGACGTCCATGGCAATTGGGACTTGAGGGGATGCGCCATACTGGCTATGGTCCAGAACTCGTGAAGAGAAAAGCTCGACCCGTGTCTATTTCAGATGACAACAAGATGCCGAATTCTGAGAGTTGGTGCGTGTGAAACTTCTGAAGCAATTTCTAGACCCAGGGTTGACCGAGGTCAACATTACCTTTTCGGCAACCTTGTTCACCAGGGCAATGTGTTCCATGCCCTCTCAGATGCTTGTGCTTACGGTGGTCTCTGATCTCTGATAGAGAACAGTATATGGATCATTTCCGCGGACAAAGATTGAACCCTGCTCGCAACACGATATTCCAAATACGCATTGGCACACTCATGCTTACAACCTTCTCCCTTGGTGAAGCTTGTGAAGCGCGGCTGTGTGACAATAGCCAATGAATGGAGGGTGCATGATAATCAAAGTAGTATTACCTTATACGATTTTGACGTTCCTGCCTAGGTACAGTAAGCCTATACGTACCACCATATGTGGGAGGAAGATTTTCTGGTTTGTGTTCGATGCAAGCGTGCCAACCATTTCGCCCGTCATCCTCCACAACCTTGTGGCGGTGAAACACTCGGGCTGGCTGTTGCCAATGGTGCGCTATTCCAAGAGCTTTGCGGCCGCTCCCAGCGCCTCTTCAATGATCACACTCCATCTCTTCGCATTTGTAATATTCTTGTCTTCGAAGCTCTCAACAAGGCCTGGATAGGTGGCACCCGCATACCCAGTCCAACGGCCAGGGGCGAAGACAACATGCTTGAACCAAGACCTGTCATCCAAACCGCCAGAGAATAGAAATTGACGCTCCAGTGT